GACTAGTCTAGCAATAGCGGACTAGTGTTACTGTCGACCCCTGACTTCACAATGAAATCTACTAGTCTAGGACTTGTGGACTTGTGTTAGTGTCGAACCCTGCTTCACACATAAGTCGCCTCTTATAATAGCACGCAGTCGGAATAAAGGATGCCTATTCTTTCCCATAACCTGCTGAGTGATAAGTGCAGACGAATGACTTGTCCACGATATCCTGTCGGTGCTTTTGTGATCATATTTCCATGGGCCGTATTTATGAAGCCATTGTTATGCTCAAATTGGAATTCGGCTTTAAAATTCTAAAAAATATTTTCTAACTTATTGACAAAAGATTTGTGTACTCTTATCATCGGTACGAAGGGTTATGCATGAGAAAGGTATCGTGAATACGGTCCCTGATCTCTCTCCTTCAACACTTCGGATGGATCTTCTGTCGACGAAGTAATCGCTTTGTACGACACTAAAGGACCAAACGAATTAATTTACTTCTGTGCTGTGATTATATTACAAGGAACCTTTAACAAAAGACCAAACTAGACATTTCCTCCGTGTATTACATTACCAATGTATTGAAATGTAGGTTGCTTGGCAGGTTATCGAGATAATTCGGATGCTTTAGATTAATTACATAAAAAGGAAATGTAAACGCATCACGGAACACCTTAAAGAAATCGTATTATTAATCTCTTATTCAATTTGAAATGTTAAACCTGGGTCATATAAGGTAATGAAACCTGTTATCTCCTATAGATTGTGTGGGAGATTTACGTACATGAAAGACATTTCGTTTAAATCAAATGCGTTGTAGATAATTGATGCAATCAATGTTAAGAAACATCGGTACATTTTAAAAACATGACTAGAACCATCAGTTTCCGTTGAAAATCAGAATTTTAAATAAGCATCATATTCTTGGTAGACATCTAGAATATTGTGATTAGTTAATACTGTGAGTTTGATCGAGAGCTTTTCCGTAAACAGATGTGCAAGGAAAGAGTGTTTGGTTAGGTTTTTTATAAGCTCACCTGCCATGGCGTAGCGTCCGTCCGTCAACTGTTCCTTTAAAACGCTAATTGTGCTGAATGGCTAAGTAGATTTTGACTAAATTTAGTCTGGAGCATCCTTAGGCCAAGGGGACTCAATTTTGTATAAATGGTGGGTGTAGCTCCCCTGGGGGCATAGGGGCGGGGCACAATAGATGAAATAGAGGTAAAACCTTGAAAATCCTTCTTCTACCGTAGGGATTGAGGGATTTCATCCCAATTTGGTCTGAAACATCCTTAGGGAAAAGGGACTCAATTTTGTATTAACAGTGAGTTTGGCCTCCTTGGGGCAGAGGGGCAGGCCCAATAAGGGATGCAGAGTTTGGCTATACTATCCCTTTCCTTTCATTAGGATGAAGGTATTATGACCAAATTTGAACAGTAGCAAATTTTTAGGAAGGGAATTCAATTTTGTATAATTGGTGGATCTGACCAACCCTGGGCCTTAGGGTTGGGGCCCAATAGAAGGTAATTAAGGCAAAATAAGGAAAATAAAAATTAATTAACTTTAAAATAATTTTTCTTTTGCAGGAATGACAGTATTATGTCCATATTTGGTCTAACGCATCCTTGGGTGAAGGGGGACCTAATTTTGTATCAATTCTTCAAATCCTCATTTCCCTGAAGGGATGACAGGGTTTTGTCAAATTGCATATAAATATAATCCTTGACTAACCATGTAATACACTTTCATTAACATTCAACATCTGGTTAATTCAACTTCAATTTTGCTAACATTTCCAGGTGAGCGATACAGGCCCTCTGTGCCTCTTTCCTTATTTTATGTCCTATTTTAAAACAGCTAAGGTCATTTATGGACGTGTCTTCATATGTGTTGCGTATGCATGTATGTGCGTAAGTGTGCTGGATGCAGGGTATATGCGTGAAATTGCCTCCCTGTGATTTCTTAATCTGATGCCGACTTTAGAGGTGCTTTCTCACTGAAAAACCATGTCGATGGCACCAAGCACAGCATTCCGCCCGGTCACATTATACTGACAAATATTTTTTTCTAATTCCTAATTTTTATTGAGGGTAATTGCAGAAAACAAGAATGAACCTACTGTATCCCGCTGTACGTGTTACGTAAAAGGCAGTTAATGTGTGGTCCCCTACAGATTCGAGGGTTTTCAGAGTCTTCTACGTAGGGGAAACGGATGACACCAAACTTGATCTGCTGGTACACTTGGGATCTTTGTCTTTTCTTTTTTTCCCTGCCTGGTTTCTTTACTCTCTTCTTTCTGTCTTAGGTGATGTCTGTCCAGGCCAACCCCTGCAGGTTTGGGATCGAGAAAAGAATACACCAGCTGTTACTAACTGTAGGTATCGTAAGAGGCGACTAATGAGCAAACCCCCTGCATATTGGGGGGATTCGCTTTTGTGCCCTCTACTTGAGGACACAAAAGCGATCAATATAAATCTGCTGCACCAATTGCAATATTTGGGATCTTAATATTTCTCTCTACTTCTAACTACCTTTTATTTCCTAGTGCCTTGCTTGGAAATACCTCACGTTTGTTTTCCCTTGAACATTAGGGGTAATGGCAACAACTTGTTCAACCGTTGTCAGTATAATGTGGCAGGGCGGGCTGCTTTGGTATGGTATTTCAGTGGGATAGCACTTGAAAGTCGGCATCAGATCAGCGCTATCACAACGAGGCAAGTACACCAACATACCCGGTATCCTGCATACATACACACATACACAACACACATGAAGGAACGTCCTTCAATGACCTTAGTAGGACGTTAAACAAAATAAAACCAAACCAAACCAAACCAAACCAAACACTTTAGGCCCCCGTTTTTGTCAGACCACAGCTGCTGGTGCAAGGACATTAAAGCCCAAACAAACACAATTTTTAATCTTACAGTTGTAGTTGTCAATCCGGAAAAAAAGTAACTTCCTTAGGTATATCCATAAAATATGGAGGTGTATAAGGGTATAACGTTGTTATTGAATCTATGTTATATATACACGATTTAATTGTGCTGTATTAAAATAGATTGAGCATAAATTCTAAAAAAAAAACACGTAAAGAAGTGGATTTAATTGCTGTTGGCATGTATTTTAATATCAACAAGCCGTCAAAAAACAAGTAAACAAATTTACCTTTAAGTTGACAAATATGTATATTATATATCTATATACCTTACATCGACTTTATAATTGTCTAGACCCTTATAAGCCACCGTAGTAACGCCACTGTGAGAACAATATTGGAAATTCAGAGCTGTAGCTTACAGAGATGGGGTTGTGTATATGGTTATGTAATAACGTGTTAAGCAACTGTAGGTTTGAGCTAAAGATCTGTCAGAGATGTGTTTAGACTGAGTCCTTTAAAGACAGAGATCACGAAGTTAAAGTTACGGATTTCTAACGGTTTGTCCCGGATTTGTACGATTTTATCTGGATTGATGAGGTTTGTATGGTTCACTAACGGTTTTACCCGGTTTAAAAAGTGTGAGTTATTCGAATGGGTCTTATAATTAAGTTAAAAGCTAAAATTAAATCCTTTAAAGACATAGACAAGAGGTTTAGTTTACGGATTTCTAACGGTATGTCCAGGATTTGTACGATTTGTTCCGGATAGACAAAGTTTTGTATGGTTCACTAACATTTTTTCTCGATTTTGCAATAGTATGGTCTATCTGGAGGGGTCTTCCGGCTTATAAGCGGTACAACCCATCGGCAAATGTTTTAAAACACTGCAACGTAGAGGTTGTAAAAAAAACTCCTGATATAAACGAAGTCAAGTTGTACATTCGTATACCTTGTTTTTATTTTAAAACCTATATTTGTGATATGAGGTGGCGTAGGTTCGTTGCAATGGTGGAGTAACATTGTATTAACCATAGGGCGATGTAAAATGTTCTCCCCGGTGTTCCCAGGGGTGTAACTGAGGTCTGCATAAAGGCTCAAGGAATTTGTGATGAATAAATTAAAGATTATGAGAGTACGATGTTAATAAGAATAACCTACATTGTGGTAAATCATGAAAAATATTGTGATAATAATAAAGTGCTGATATCTCTAACTTAAGTTATCTTTCCATACATTCCATATCTCAAGCTTGAATCAATCTGCAAAGGAAAATGTAATAAATTGGAAAATCATATATTTTCGTTTGGCCCAAATTTCATGATTTTCCTTCATACGGAGAATATCTTTATGTCAAACTTATAATTACTTCATGATCTCTAAATTCGTAGATTTAAAGTACCCACTAATTAAAAACCGCATAAAAATAGTGTTTTAACAGTACTTATGTACAACACACGTTATATCACCAAACGTAAAATCGCCTTCATAAACGTATAATATACATGTCGATTTGTTCAATACGCCATTCAAAAGTGATCCGAACAAGTCAGCATTAATCAGATTCAGACATGAGAGCTTCTTACTGTAACAGAACACCGAAAAATTACGATAAATCCGGCCTATATGCTATCTGGCGAGAAGCTTCAAATCGTCTTCCTTTGATGCCTGGTCATTGTAACAAAAAGCCTGTGAAAGACGACGATTTGTCTGCATAAATATTTGAAGTAGCAGGATTTCGGGATTTTACTCTGATCCAAACCTCATCGCCAAAATGAAGATGAAGCAGAACCATCATAGTTCCAGTGGAATAATAGTTGGCATCACCTGAGCGGTTGATTGCTATGGAGGAAGTGTTCTTAATCAGCTCAGTTTGTACGTAGTGTGATCCGGTTGTATAAATGCTCCAGTAGAAAACATAGGTGCCGGCTTTACAGCAGGTAAATACTCCTGTATGACCGCTGTAACAGTCCCCAACATTAGTTACAGGACTGTCAAACACTATTCCTTGTTCTACAGCAACGCTGGACAGTGTGTGGGTCAGTTGGGCGGAAAACATCACATTCCGTCCATCTGTAAGAGAAATAGTAGTGACAAGAGACTTCACAAACCCTCTCCAGAATCAAATTCATTATAATGTTATGCTGGACCCAATATTTGTTTTGATTTGAACATAAATGATTACTTAGAACAATTTTGATTCAAAACTGTTCGGTCCTTCGCATTTCGGTTTAGTCCTAGGAGGACGAATAGCTGTATCATCCAGTGTTATTCATTGTATATTACCAAATTACATAGGTGCAATCACGTGTTCGTTTCACTTTCCATATTTGTGAATAATATTTAAAATAAATAATTACTGCTTTATAATTTACAAAGACGGACGAAAGACGCACACCAAATTGCACCTATGAAATTTGGTAATAAATGTACACTGTCAATACACAGGACAAAACAGCTATTTTGTCCTTCTATGACTCATCAATGATGCAAGGGGCCAAACACTACTGTTGAAACAGAAAGCGAGATGCATGAGACCTATTAATTACATAAATGTCGCAAAAACTGTATCACATATTTGATTAAGTTAAAACATATATTTAGAGAATGTGTCATTTCTGTCGAAAAAACCCGATAACAACTGTTGCAGCATGATATTATCATCAGAAGAAAAAAACATTGTGTTCTGATTGCTGCAATATCCTGCCACATAACTTCACCTATGTACTGTTAATCATGCACAACAAAGATACAGTGAAATAATAGAAGATTCATATAAATCATTTATATGTAATAGTCGCGTTAAAGAAACATCGGCCCGGGCAAAACAAATGCAAAACCAAAAGATTATATCAGGTGTATATGTTTATATGATATTACAATTAATCACTTACATGAGATGCCTGCCGTGACGATTTTCCTTGCACATTTGACAGTGTCGGACTGGTCAGACGACATATTCGTAACACAAACCACCAGCTGCTGATTTTGTGTCTGAAGTCCACCGATTTCTCTCTCCAGTGCAGTAACTCGCTGTTCTAGCGTGGTCGCAGATTGCCCTGCTGTAATTTGTGGTGAACATTCCGCTTCGAGCAGGCACAGTACAAGAACAACAGCAAGAAGTTTGAGTGTACGCTCCATGGTGTGTATCACAGAAGGAACTGTCGACAATTGACTAGCATAGACACGTCTAGGTAGTATTTAATATAGATTTAGCAGTAACGAAACCCGGTGCGGATCAGTGGCCTAATGCACAGTTTATCAACATAATAAGGAGCTATTAGATGATGAAATGTGGTATTCTTCAACACATTTAGCCATAATGAAATCACCCTTTTCGAATAATCAAAAATTTGGCATGTGGTTTATTTGTTACTTAGATGGTGAAGAGAAGTCTTTGATCTCAAACAGGATTTGTAGTGTATATGCCAAAACATAAATAACAACTGAATGAGATGCCAACCAGCTTTGATGATACTGAAATAATTCACTGACGTGCAGATAAACTGTCTTGGAATCAAGCTAAGAACCATCAACATGCTTCATAAAACGTGATATTCCGTCTTTGCGTATTGCAGCGTTATCTGCACTTGTGAGCAGGTATTGATTGCTACGTCATTGGTTTGTGAGAGTAACGTCATCAATGTTTGAGAAAACGACGTAATTTTCTCACAAAAACAATGACGTAACAATCAATACCTGCTCACAAGAGAAGATAACTCTGCAATATGCAAAGGCGGAATAAAACTGCGACGAACATTAAGTGTAACTGACACTGACTTTGAATGGATCTTTGGTGCATGGTCCCTTCATTGGAAATTAAATATTTGTTGATGGTTACGAGAATCTACCAGTAGACACGAATATTATCGTGTCTTAAGAATTTAACCATACTTTTGTAAGATTTTTGTTCAAGTTTTGCAATACTTGATATGTTGATGGATATAAATAATACTTTTATAACAAACCATTTTGTGGTAAAACATGTTTCATTTCAATAACAAAAGTAGAAGCAAAATATAAAATGTGTAAGAACACGTTCGAGCACTATATAAAGCGATTCTGTTAAAAAGCGATGAGTGAAATATAAAAAACTAGAAATATGTCAAAATGACATGAAAGTCACCCCATCTCCTGTATGATTATTTCAGTATAATAAATCATTGACCAAGCTACAACTGACATATTTCCACCTGTCAATCAAAATGGTCTAACAATGACCAGGTATGCATACACGCTGTTTAGGTAACCATGCCAACCTACTAGGATATAATAAGAAAGCATGTGGTTGATTTACTTGAAGAAAATGTTCCATGTTTTATGACCATAAAACACAAACACTGCAAATAATTTCATTTTTTTTT